TGATGGATTATGACCACAAATAACACTGGGCTTCCTTAAGGAGAGGTTTGGAAAGCAAGTTAAGCAAACACAGTGACATACGTAAAATCACCACTTACTATATTCATATAATTCATATAATTCATAAAATATATATTCTCAAGTCTCAAGTACCTAAAACTTTTGCTCCATACTGCACATTTATGATTTTAAAAATCTTGGATTCTGTGGGTGTCATCTTCAGGTCACTTTGCGTGTGTGGCCCCCTTATGCCGAAATACTAAATGGAGGTGAGCGAGTGAAGAACACCCCTATGAAACCCAATCCGGACAGCTGCAGGATGTCCCCCCTTTCACTCTGATGCTTAATGAATTCCAACGCAAACCAAATCACGGTTAACTTCTCCACGATTGATGGATTGCCTTCGCACCGTCAAAACAGCTTAAATGTGCACTTTTTTCCGCTTTTGCTTCTCTCTATCTGAGTATCATGATCGGTTAAGAGGATCCACAGAGGCGCCAGGTGAATGCTGGATAGACTAATCTAATATCAAAGTCATTTTATACTTGCTTCTCACGAATCAGATGACATTTGCTTCATAAAATGCTTGCCCTGTGCAGTTTAGCTGCAAACAGGGAAATGACAGTAATGTCTTATATGAACCAAATTATAAGGGTGATAATGTAATATAATAATAAAAAGGTGGTTATACAGTATCCTAAAGGGTACTTCTAGTGTTTCAACATTTTTGCATAATTCAGTGGATGAGATTTAAACAAAGTTATTCAGAGTGGTTTGACGTGAAATAATTTGTTGCAGAGAAACTTACTGACTTGGAGTTTTTTACAATATTGATGATAGGAACCAGGGGTCATGATGTCTAATGCAAATATAGCCATTTTATTTATTATACAAAATGACAGTGAACCTACACATGTCTTCTGAGTTCTTATATGTAATGTTGATGATGGTAAAACAAAATCTGAAAAAAAGAATTGTTTGGAGACTATTTTGCCTCACAACACCCTGCATGTACCTTTCCAGCATGAGTGGCTTTTCAAAAATGTGTTTTAGGCTCGAACTTTATTGTAAACTATCATAAAACAATGTCTCAGGCATCAGGCAACACATTGAAAATCATTTCTTGTAACAACTTTGTGTAAGGTAGCTTTTAGAGGCATTAAAGGCTTCAGACATCTGGTTCCTATCACCTCCACTGTGAACAACTCTGACTCTATTATAGTATAGTATCTAGTATTTTTTTTCTAGAACGAAGCATTTCATTTCAAACCATTCTTAATGACTATGTTTATGTCTTAATCATTTAGTTATGTAGAAATTTAAAAAAATCAGTGGACTTCCCCTTTAAGATAAACTTTTTACATAACTGTTATCTCTTTAATATCAGTAGAATGTATTAAAGCTAAATTACACAGACCAGTGCACAATTATTTTTCTTTCCAACATTAAACTGTACACATTGTATACATTACTTTAAATGATTTGATGAAAAATAATCAGCAACAATCTATTTATCTATTTACATAAAATGGTACGCAGTTGGGGGAAATGTGGGAGGTTTTATTTTGGGAGGTTAGATTTTTTTTGTAACATAAGAATATCAGTGAATGCACAGACTTACTGTTACCTCTGAGATATTTGTATATGCAGTGGTTTATGGCAAAACAATACATAACAGTTCACCAAAGGGCAGCAATTAAGTATTCAGACCTTAGGTATTTACAAGGATTATGTTATGATCTATTTAAACCTAAGCCATTTATTGTAATAGTAATAAGCTAAAAATATATAAATCATCATTTATAGAGGCTTTCTTTTATTTAAAGATCTTTTTTGTTTTCTTTTAAAGTGAAGTTGAAAACCTTAGATGAATCATGAGTTTATTTTTTTTAATAAAAAAAATCATGTCATGTCAGTCATGTCACTAGCGGAATACAAAGAGTTTTATCCATAGATGGAGCCTTATTTTAGCCACACCCCAGCATTTCGCATATTCTCTGCTCTGGGTAATTTACAATTAAGTAAACCTTTTGTGTTTTAATATAAAAAAATAATCATGTACTGGCTAGCATTTTTGAGTTTGGCTATAATTGTCACTACAGAAACAGTCACTACCAGAAATTTTGGTTGTATTATGTGATTGTTTTTGTAGTGACAAAATGGGACATTCAAACATTTATTTTAATAAAATAACCTTAATTAAGGCATAAGGTCAGTTAAAGCAAACTGATTTTAGTTTGAGTTGGTCAAAAGTCCAAAATGTGTTTTCAGCTCTGACTTTTAACCAATTGTGTAGAATAATCCATATTGTCATAAAAGTGTCAGGCAGCCTTATGAAGGCTGCCCTTTAGTGAAGTGTTACCAAACCATGATCTTTCACAAAGTGGAGGTAAAAATACAATACCAAGTAAATTATGAATATGTTAAAATAAGAGATCTCTTTATATCGATGTAATTTATATATGCTTTATATATGCTCACATAACTGTAAGCATAGCAACTGGTAACACCAAAATACTCTTTGTAGGCCTCTAAGGAACTGTATGGCCAACTGCTTATATTGTCCTTTTATCCTGCTGTGAACACTTTATGGTTGAGACGTAATGACACCATGTGGGTTTATAAGTGTGTGTATGTGCATGATAACAATGGTGCTTGACTTCTTCCTTTTTGAAGGCTCAGCCTATATGCACCTGTGCACCCTCTTTGAGGTCTGAGATTTCTACCAGTGACATTTTTTACCAGTCACAATACAGAGACAACAGAGAGAGAGAGAGGTGAATAGAGAAGTGCTGGTAGAAGACTTGAAAACCAGAATCCATTTGTGTTTGTTGACCGGTCATAGTGCTCTAAAGTGCCTCGAGTTCTGTCTGAAGCTACCGCCACCAAACCTTGAGAGGCACTTTGAGGCTGCCGATGACCCTCCTCAAGTACTAGAATGCTTTTGAATGGATTTGGCGTAGCATGTATATTTCTTGTTTTGCTGAAAAAGGTCCTTTCACAGGACTTTTTGCTTTGTTTTTTAGGAAAATTCAGAAATAAGCCTAATAAACCAGTTTAAGATTTACACTGTTTCACTTTAAAGGGGAACTGCACAGATTTTTCAAAATTTCTGCAGAATTAAATAGTTACACTCAAAGTCATTGAGAGTGGATGTAAAATGCTCTGTCCTAGACAAACTTACAGAGTCAGAATTGTTCACAGTAGTGGTGATAGGAACCAGTTTTTTGAAGAGTTTAATGACTCTAAAAGCTCCCTGAATGGCTTTGCTTACATCTCAACTATTGAATTGTTCATAAATTTTGAAAAATTAGTGGAATAGCTGTTTAAGTTTGAATTAAGGTGAATTTTGATTTTTCTAAGTTGCTGCATGATTTAATTGTGGAGAAATAAACAGAGTCATTCAGAGTGGCTTCTTATGAAATCGTGCTCTGTAAAGAAAAGTTTTAACAGTGGTGGGGAATTAACATTAAACAATGTCAGTTCACATATTCATAATCAAATCATGTTGTAGCTTTTTAAACTTATTTTAGCTGTTTTGTGAATGACACTTTGTTGTATTTTAGAACATTATGTTGTAAACAAAAATAAAATGGGGTAATTTGGCAATGTAAACATATACAACATATACAACAGAGGACTAAGACATTAACAAATAAGAAAGAAAATACATGTAAGAAGAGAAAAGAGGCTGTGTTGTGTTTTAGCTTAGTTTAATTCAGTAAGTAAGAGCATTTCACATCAAACCACTCTGGAAGCTTTTGTTCACATCTTACCATTTTTATGCAGTGCATTTTGAAGGTTAAATGATGTACATTAACCATCATTAGTAGCCTAGATACTGCATTGTGGCCTTTCTGTGTTTAATATGATCCACATTCTTAGCTTATTTCTTTTTTGTGCTATCCTATGAAATCTTATTTGTTTGGCAAAGCCGATGATAGCAGTCATTCCTGTTTAAGGCGTAAGGATTCTCATAAGAGCAGAAAGCTAGGTCTCAGTAGGCCTACTGCTAAACCTGGATCCCTGAGTTAGTTGTACAACTTAAGTCAAAATATGGAATTTCCATTGGAAAAGACATACTAGCTCTCATTTGGTCCCCTTCTACCAGCTTATCGCCAGCCAATTTGGTTCATTAGAATGAGCGGCCAACCAAACAGCAGTTCCCTAGCGTTTTGTGCAGTGATAACGCCACCTCTTGGTGATACTGTGATCAGATTGTTTGCTCTGATCCGTTTTATTTTATTTTATTTTATTTATTTATTTTTTTATTTTTTGCTTAATTATTTGCTTATTAATTTTATTAACATTATAGACTAGGGACAAATTAGGGACTTGCTCAGGTAAAGTACAATGTACTTTTTAAAACCCATTAATGGTGGAGAGATGTATGTTCGGCGTTATAAGGCAAAGTAGTCCCCAATAAAACTTGTTTCCAGACTTACCATTATTTTACCATCATTAGCATTACATATAAAGACTCAGAATACATGTGTAAGTTAGGTTCACTGGTGATTTTGGATAGTAAACAATATATAGAAAAAAATTAAAATATGGCTATATAGACATCGTGACCCCTGGTTCCTGTCATCACCACCGTAAAGAAATTCGAGTCTGTATAAATTATCCACTTCACACCAAAATACTCTGAATGACTTTACGTCTAAACCATTTAATAATGTATTTTTTTATTCGGCGGGGTTCCATTTTAAACTGAAGTTACTCACTTGAGAAAAAAATAGATGTCTAATTTAGGCAAGAACATTTTACAAGGCAATGTAATAGGGTAAAATACAAGTACTAACGTCTCGTATTTCTGTTCCTCCTCTGTTATATTTCTATTTAACTTTAGCCCGGTTTGCATGTGGCGACTCAGCGTCACGATAACGACCATTTGCCTCTTCGGACAACAAACCCCACAAACCCACGCGCGTCCTTCTGTGCCGTGGTGATTGGTGCGCTGCAGTAGAGTCTCCGTTGCCTAGGAGAAGATGTTACACGCCTTATCGAGCCAGAGCTTAACTTTATCTTCCACACAACTCTACTATCTTCAGGTCCAGACAACGGAAAAGGGTGGTTCGCTGTGCAAACTGGTGAGTTTCACAAAAAGGGGGGACAGGGGATGAAGCGCAGATAAGTGAAACAATATTTTGAACAAGTGAACTAACGTTAACCTAGCTGTCGCAGCTATAGCTGTCACAGAGACTCCTAATGCGATTAGCAATTCATCGTTAGCTTAGCTTGCTACCACGGCTTGGTATTTTAATTAAACACCTTCAAACAAAGGGAAACGCGTCACTGTTACTTATTTATCATTGCCTGACTTTTAATACAGCCATACACCAGCGAAGCAAGATTAAAGTGCCATGGATTTGTAGCTTAGCTAATTAATATGGTTTATATATACCACTTTATTGACTTGCAGCATTGATCACGTCTTAACTTAATTGGTATTGGATGTGAAAGAAGGTTTATAACATAGTACCAGCAAGCGTCACATGTAAGGTTACTGTAACGTCTGTAAGCTTTCTAACATGGACTCTGCCTGCGCACTGTTTGCGTCTGTGTCCATGTGATGATTCACACGGCTACTGTAGAGCATGTGTCTGTGAGTTTGCTTGTTCACCGACCTTGAGAAGCCTGTTAATGCCCCCCCCCCATGCATCTTTCTAATTCCTTCTAAACCCCTTTTCAGCTGATTACTCTACGCCAAAGCTCAGTCAGTGGAGGGTAACTAGCACTTACATGTAGACAAAGGATGTCTTGCAATCTCTGTCTTTTGAAATAGAAGTAGTTTATATTGTAGAAGAATATATTTGAGAACTTAAATGTTGTTGTACCCAATACTGCTTAGTTGTGTCATTATGTACACTGAGGGTTGCAATGTAAGACAGTGTAGTCTAAATCAGTGTTTCTCAACCCTGTTCCTAGAGGCCCACTACCCTGCGTTTTTTTATGTTCCCTGCTCTCAACACACCTGATCCAGCTTGTTAAGAGCCCATTATTGAGGTAAAGTGGGTGTATTAAACCAGAAAAAGCATTAAAAGTTCAGGACTGTGGGTTTTCAGGACCAAGCTTGAGAAGCACTGGTCTAAATAGCTCAATGCTTTTAATGAATTAGGGCAGTTTGTTTGGCCCCGATTATTAAAGAGAGTGTAATGTCTAAGCTACTTCTTAGAGTTCAAAGGTATAGGCCAGTGTTTTCCGTGTCCTGGGGTAGCCCTGCACTTGACATTTTAGTGTTTTCCTGCTTCAGGAAGTGCTTACTTAACCTCATAAATGACTTAATAATGAGTCGGGAGTGGGAAGAACATGTGGGAAAACATGCATGGCATGGTTATTTGAGGACCAGTACTGGGAGACACTAGTGCAGGCTACCTGTAGTGGCCTAGGCCTGTGGTCAGATTTGGTTATGATTTCGATTCATGAGTGCACACTTGAACACTTGTAGTGGCTCAACCACGTGTTTTTCAAAGCAATGTACAGTACAGGCCTATTATTGTCCATTATAGAGAGTAGTGATGTAATATCTAGGGCTCAGAGTTTCCTTAGTGTTGAACTCCCCAGCACTTTGTTCTGCCTTGAAATCCACTTGACAGGAAGTCAGGGAGATTGAGTGTGATTCAGGGCCCAAAAGCATTACGCTAATGTAAGATCCTATTTATTTTCTCAGTGTGTGCTTAATCGCCTGGCCTGGCTTAATCATTTTCCCCTTGGGATGTGGCTCTGTACCTGGAGAGCAAAACACAGGAGAGGATGATGATGTCATGGGGAAAATTACAGCATTGCATATGGGCATCACACTGAATGTGCAGCAGGAGAAGCTTTGTCCTCCAGTCACTTGTTCTTTCTAGATATTTCAGAGGTTCCTTGCCCCTCATTTCAGTAGCATGCCCCCAACTTTCTGTGCAGGAGAGCCCACAGCCTTTCACATTAGTAATCCTCCTGGCTCTCTGATACAGGAAACTGTGCTTGCCATGCAGCCGCTTAACAGCCAAAATAAGGAAGACGCTTTGGACAGATGCACTTTAGTTTGGACTGTTGGATTGGATTTGTGATTGTTTGCTATGATTTTAGGTTTGATTTGTGATTGTTTGCTATGATTTTATGAAATGCAAAAATATTTTCTGGTAAGTGTGATCATGTTAAATGTAAGCAATATACTTAATATTTCTTATTATGTTGTCAGATTGTTGTAAGATCAACCTGTAAATGTCTAGAAATAATGAATAATATAGTATCACACAACATTTAATACATTGCATTACACTTCAGATGCTTTCACTTGCTAAGAAATCATTTCTTGAAGTGCACTACATTAAATAGTGTGTAAAGAAATCAAACTTACTTAAAAATAAACCAGAAACATCTGTAAAAACATACAGCTGTTACTGTTGTTTTAACATGTGTCACTGTAAGAAAGTCAAAAATAATAATAAAGAAAGTATGATGACTGACTTTGTTTTTCTTCTGTTTGCTTTAGAATTGATTGCAGACAGAGGGATGGCCTGTGCAACACAGTGGACATCACATCACACAAGCTTCTAGAGGTGTGCTATGACAGTGTGCACAGCTGTGTGCGAGTGAGCTGCATTGCTAGGCTGGCGAGGCAGGAGGTTAGCTGTACTCTGTTTCATCTGAGAGGTGGAGGGAGCTGCATGATTCTGCGAGGATGAACCGCTACACCACTCTGAAGCAGCTGGGGGACGGCACCTACGGCAGCGTGCTGATGGGCAAGAGCAATGAGTCTGGGGAGCTGGTGGCCATCAAAAGGTACAAAGAAAGATTTTGCAGGCTCTAGTAATGTGTACCCCTTAGGCTGTGGTGTTTTCATGTTTTCTCTGCTGTTAGATATATTGTCAGATTATCAGGTAATTCCTGAGGCCTATCAAGTCAGGTGTTCCAGAGCGGAAAACCACAGACGTGTAGTATGTGGGGTTCTCAAGCACTAGGATTGAGAACTGCTGATGTAAAATTGAGCCAGAATGGTAGTAAATTATCAGCTACATTATCATCAAATTAGGCCAAAAACATATATTGTTGCTAAGCCTTTTTGTGTTTTACATTGTGTGAAGGTTTCCTGATGAATAGAACAATAGAAATGGTCTGTAAGTTCTTGTTATTAATAATATCTTATTAATAATCTATCATAATATATCTATAATAATATCTGGTTATATTAAAATACAGCACCGTGCAAAGGTCAGAGACTGCCTTCATTTATTTAATTTCCAGAGTTATTCATTTTTCATGAGATATTACTGTGTTTGGTATTACTTGTGTCCCTTACAGATTTCTTGGAAAAATTAAAGAAAGTCTGAAAATAACAGAAACCATGATAAAGGCTTGACAGTAAGTAAGGATGGACACACTAAATACTAAAAAAATATGGATTCCTACTAAGATCTTGCGGCTTTTGTATAATTTTCTTTTAAATGTATGTTTTCTTCATTTTTTTCCAAAATAATTTTTGGCCATTTTGATTGGACATAAAATAAATTAAGAGTGGCTTTTGCACAGTGCTGTACATTAAAGTTACCATTTGTTACAGTATATTGTGTTTGTAATTTCATGGGTTACTCTTCATTGATTGCAAAGAATAGACAAATGCCTATCATTGGGTATCAATCTCATTTTGCCCTGGAGGTCTCAAGAGAATGTCAGCATGAGTAGGTGAGTTGTTATTAAGATAGAGATGGCCCCCTCAGAAAGTGTGTCAAGCCCACAGGGCTGGGGAATCTCCACTCCATACACAAACATTCCACTGACCTAAATAGTCACTTTGTCCACCCTGATCAACACACCACTGCATGGTCTACACTGTAGCACTGAGAGGATCATAACAAACCCCGTTTGCTCATGGGCTGATCTCAGCACGGGCTGCTCTTTCAGCAGGGGCAAGTAAGCTGAATTATGAATGGCCCAGCGAGATGCTGTTGTAGCTGCTCAGGAATGGATGGTTACCATGCAAAGCGATACTCCAGTGACGGTGAAAGGAGTGAAAGTGCATAGGCTTGTGTTGCCTCGGTGTCCCATCAACAAACGTGCAATATCGGCCCATCGTGCCTTGGGTTACATAATTCTTCATGCACTTGCAAGCAGGCTCAGATCCCTGCCTGGATTAGTTTTCACGTGCTACCCTGCTCGCCAACTGTTGTGCTGGGGACATACTGTACATAGCAACACTGCATTATAATGGAGCAGAGACCTTTTTAGTGCTTCTAGTGAAACTGGTTCTAGCCTACAATGTTGATTAGCTTCTCCCAGTTGCTTATTTGAAAAATACTTGGTCTTGGCTCATTTTATTCTCTGTTCTGTCACTATCTGCATATTATTAAGTGTATTTTGACATGTTGAATTTTAAAAAAGAGCAAAAATTGAATAAAACCATCAAAATTTACACAAAAGTTTCTACACCTTTTCACTTTAGGTGGATAATTATTTTGGCTGATAGAAAAAAATGCGATAGAGTATGATGGAAACACATTTGTGTAATACATAATGTAAATGATAGTAGGAAGTTTTTTCCCCTTGTAGAGACCTGATGGAAACTCACATATCTAATTTTCATACATTTGCTGCGACATTTTAGTTATTCACTTGAATTTAACTTCAAAATATGTTTTCAATGTAATTTTTGTCCAGTTCTTTTTTGCGTTAGTGCTAAGTAGAGTAAAAGATCAGCAGAGATGAATCGAGAGCTCCATTTAGTGAACTCACCTAGGGTCACCTGCACTCTTAAAAATAAAGGGTTTCTAGATGATTTGGACTAACCTAGGAAAAACCTGTAATTAGTATAGGTCATAAACATTATATGGAGTTATGTAGAACTTAAAAACAGCTCTTCACACTCTCATATGTCATTTACATAAATGATTCTTTAATAAACATCCACTAATATCTTTGTTATGGGACCAAAAGGTGGTTCTTCTATGGCATTACCAAAGAAACCTCTTTGGCATCTTCTTGCCAAAGAATGTAATTGAGTGATTGGATTTGAGTTGACTTGGATGGGAAATGTGACTAACTATGGTCCTTACCACCAGTTAATCTTTGCAAGTGAAGTTGTTTATGGTTGCCAGTGTTGAAAAGGGGTGAAAAGTGATGTTCTGTGCTCTACAGTCAAACCACAGTCAGAGCAGTAGATGAAAAAACACATTTCCTTTATCGCAAATGGTCCTCCAGACTTCTATAGACATAGGCTTTTTCAACACTATGGGCCTTACATCTGGAAAACACCGCATTCAAGCCCTAAGAACATCATTTCAGATATAATGCAAAGCACAGGAAGTGTCATCATTTAAATGTAGATTATGATTTTATGTCAAGATCTGATGTATGTATATAACTGCAGAACAGTTTTGCTATGATTTTGGTAAAGTTTTGGGACAGTGAACAGAAACTGGTATCCATATGGAACACTTACATCTCTTGATATTCAATCTAATTGAACTTTGCTTATTCCAAGCAGTGTGTGCTTGGATGTAGGGCTGAATGATTTAGGGAGAAAACTAATTGCATTTTTTCTGATCAGTATTGTAATTTAAATTGCATTTTCTTGAATTAAGCTCCAGTTCTGTTTTTTTTGACCCAGAAGACCAGTATATTGTCACTGTCGTAAAAAAAACGCAATTATCTAGATTTTTTTGTGTTCATTGTGACAATATGCACTTTTTTCTGGCTTGATGTCTTGAACACTGAACGGGTGGCTCGTGAGCTCTGTGTTGTTGGGTTAAATCTCACACTGTAAACTTGTTAAGGCACCTTGTTGATAATGTAGGCCATAATTAAATTTGTAGCCCTTGTGATTAGAAAATTGCACTCTTTCAAATTCAGTATAAAAGTGAATATGAAAATGATCATTTAGATAGAAAAAAATATCTTTCAGCACTACTGGGATACTTAATGAAATAACTTGACCTATTCTAAATAATCTGTGCTATTCTCTAAACAGCAGGCTGTGGTCTTTTGTTGCTAATGAAACCTTGGAGACTGAATTCGAGCCATTGTTTGTAACCTCCTCTAATATTTTTCACAGAATGAAGAGGAAGTTCTACTCCTGGGAAGAGTGCATGAACCTGAGAGAGGTGAAGGTAAGAGCTGCTGCTAGGACATGAGAGTCAACTACGGGACTGCAAACTACAGGCAGCACACCTTGGTTATGAAGTTTGGGTTATGGAGTCCTTATTCGTAGCTTATTTTTCTGATGTACGTTTATCTGCTGTGAGTCTATGGCACATTTCAACTGAAACATGGCATTTGTGTGTTTTCAGTCACTAAAGAAGCTGAACCATGCCAACGTGGTGAAGCTGAAGGAAGTCATCAGAGAAAATGATCACTTGTACTTTGTCTTTGAGTACATGAAAGAGAATCTCTACCAGCTGATGAAAGACAGGTATGAGGTACTTTAGCACATTTTTGACTGAACTAAACTCCACATGACCTGTTTGTTTGACTCCGCGAGTACAGAAAACAGACATTTATGTTATAGACTACAGCTTGCTGTTGGAATTCAGTTCTTAGCAATACTCTTAAAATCCTGTCAGCACATTCCAGCACACTGACAGCTATTAATCAATATCAGTTTCTGAGAGTATTTCTTCATTTTAATCAACCTACTGCTGTTTAATATGTACAGATGGGTGACAAATTAAAGGAAAACCAACAAAGGTGTTGTCCTATCATGAGCCGCCATAACAGCTTTGTTGCGCATTCTAGAAATCTATGCCAAAATCCCTCATAGATGTTCAATCAGGTGGAGATCTTGTGACTGACATAATTTTTATACTCAAACCATTCAATGAAAGCTTGTGCCCTGTGGATGGGTCATTGTCATCGTGGAAGAGACCACTCACATCAGTTTCATCATAAGATAAGGGGGATCAGTCAGAATAACTGTATTGATTTGCAGTGACTTCTCCCTCTAAGGAGACAGGTATACCCAAACCATCCCAGCAAACTACCCCCCCACAGCATAATACTGTTTCTATACTCACTTACTGAGGATTCCATTAATTTATCACCCCTCTGTTTTTCGCTCTTTAATAGACTTTAGGTTGTAAAATTAAAGTTGTGACTGTGTAATGCATTTGAGACTCTGTATACACTATCCCTCCTAGAAATAATCATTTGACGGTTATGTTGGTTCTCTTGTCTCCAGAAACAAGTTGTTTCCTGAATCAGTCGTCAGGAACATAACCTTTCAGATATTGCAGGGACTATCATTTATTCATAAGCATGGTATGTTAACTGTCTGAGGGCTGTGATATTCATGTTTAACAAACTAGAACAGCTGAATGGGAGCCAAGTATCAGCCCGTGCTGATCGAATATGCTGTCAAAGTGTTTGGCATGCTCCCACGATGTCTCAGCTGTTCTCATCATCATTTTAGTGACAGGATGTGCGAGTGTCTGAGGTGCACCATTAACACTGGACTGAATTTAAAAAGCTTACACTGAGAGCTAAACTCATTTTCTAACACCACATACTCTCTCGCACAACCTATGGGTGAAATGTTTTGGGGATTCTCTTTCTGTCCTTATTCTCTGCTTCTCTTTCTCTTTTCTCTTCTCCTTTTGTGCATGAAAATCTCTCTTATCAGGGAAAATAAGATGTTCACTGAAAATGAAATAAGGAACATCATGTTTCAAGTGCTCTCTGGTTTGGCATTTGTGCACAAGCATGGTAAGATTCTTATCTGTTTGTTCTGTCCTGTATGTTTTCCCCCAAAACTTTCTGTCTTATGTAGGAGTTATTTTTACTACTTCTGCTGATTCAAAGCACTTGTGGAATATTGTCAAATACTTGGCAAATAAGCCCAAATAACGGGCTAATAACCATTCTTGGCAGAATGTGAACAAAAAAAATCAGTTAATCTAAATTATGTACCTGTTGTGCACGCTTGATGGCCACTTTATTAGAAACACCTGTCTCGCAGGTCCACCTTACTGTACAGTTAGAAATGACAAATCGTCCATTTGTGTTGGCAATCCTGTAGCCCATCATCAGTGAACAGCTTCTGAGCCCCAGCTTCTGACACCCATTCCTTTTTTTGTGAACTATGTATATTCATTTAAGGTGCAGTTGACTCTGGGAGACAATAAATAATGTAGTGTAGTAATAATGCAATGTAGTAAGGGTATAGATAGTGCACTAATAATTACTTGTACTGCTACTAACAATGACAGCAAAAACAACAGTATATAGTAATATATAGTAGTTGGAACAAAGCTGTTTATCTGCGCAGCAAGCATTTATTTGTGCAGAAAAAATTAAGAAGTAACCTTACTACCGTAAGTAGTGATTTTATGTATGTCATTGTGCTTGTTAAACCATTTGTTCTTGTTACTTTTGCTGTGTTTAATTTTAAAAATCAATTTGCTTAGATACTATTACCTCAGTTTGCCTGCTGAGGTAAACTTTTGCACATTACTGTTCTGTAGATTTTTCGACAGTACTGTAAGTTCTCGGACATAGTCAGTAATACTCATTTCTATTTTTGGGTGGTGGACCACCTAACATACTAGCATGCCATCTCCATGCCAAGTCCTGTGTGATCACCAATGACCAATGATGAATGGGTTAGCAGCTCTCTTTTTGTATGACAACAGATGGGCTAGAGTGTGCAATTATATGCATCTGTGGATAGGTAGACCTCATAAAGTGAGCTCCTATTCAACGAGTAGTAGAAAAGAATTTCTACTTTTGGATTTTAAGAATTCCAATAAAAAAAAATCCATGAGGGATGAAATACTGGCTTTGAATCAGTGGGCATTACATGTTTGGCTTTGAAAGCTCTGGTTTGTGACCTTCACTGTAGTGGGTAGCTTACGTTTCTTAGTCATGCTATTAGCTACTTAGTTTACTGTGACTGTTACATGACTGTATCATGTTTACCAGCATTATTTGTGAATCTGTCTGCTTCTGTAGGGTTTTTCCATCGAGACATGAAGCCGGAGAATCTGCTGTGTATGGGTCCTGAGCTGGTGAAAATAGCAGACTTTGGTCTGGCCAGAGAGATCCGCTCTCGGCCTCCCTACACGGACTATGTCTCTACACGATGGTGAGAGACTTTCTTCTCCAGGGGACAGAAAACTGGCCAAACAGCATTCACAACGTAGCTTTATATTCTCTGCTTTTATACATGTAAACAGTGATATCAAGAAAAGATTTGCATGCCTCTACAGACTACAGAATGTTTTAATACAGTCTGTTCGACAGCAATAACAGCTTTATTCTAGTACACAGAAAATGTGTGATAAAAAAATCTGCCAGTTAAGGGACTACTGATTTTTTTCAAAATGTATTGATGAATTTGAGCATCTCTATTGTTTGGTACTGATGTAACTACACTGTAACTACACTCTTCTGGTGTCACCAGAATGATAAGCCTATTAGAAGTATTTTGTCACATTTACAACTCCTATGTGCAGGTATCGAGCTCCAGAGGTCCTCCTGAGGTCATCCATGTACAGTTCGCCAATTGACATTTGGGCAGTGGGCTGCATCATGGCAGAGCTCTACACCTTACGACCTCTTTTCCCTGGCAACAGCGAAGTTGATGAGATCTTCAAAATCTGCCAGGTTCTTGGTACAGTTAAGAAGGTAGATAAACTAAACATTACTAAATCAAAATCGAATGTGAAGAGAGATGGAAGTGTTGCTTTAGTAGTATTAAATAGATAAATTGTATATCCAGTAGTAAATCTGTCTATCCTAATTTTCATTGTCATTGTTCATTGTTATCTCCTTATTATGGTCAAGTTTTCTCATTTTATTTCCTCTGGACTTGCAGACGGACTGGCCGGAGGGTTATCAGCTGGCAGCAGCAATGAACTTCCGCTTCCCTCAGTGTGTGCCCACGGCTCTTAAGACCCTCATCCCCAATGCCAGCAATGAGGCTTTGACCTTAATGAAAGACCTTTTGCAGTGGGACCCGAAGAAAAGGCCGACAGCTGTGCAGGTTTGCTGGCTCATGCGCTGTGGCTTGTTTCAGGGCGCTGCATGGTGTTTAATATTTGATCAAACATTTTTTAGGCTGCTAAGTTGATTAACTTAGGCTGAAATAAAACAGGTAAAAAACAGGAATTCAAACTTTTGTTCTTTTTATTAGTAAACTTTCTTCAACACCTGACTGAGTCTTACCTTACTTGTTACTATGCTTCACAAGAGTTCTGTCTATACTGTTTCAGGCGCTGAGGTACCCCTACTTCCAAGTGGGCCAAGTGCTGGGCCCTCGGACACAGACTCCCGACCTCCGCAAGCCACAGGTGAAATCAACGCAGCCCAGTGAGCCTAAACCTGAGCTGCAGTCAGCCTCGGAGCCAGTCCTACGCTCTCAGGCCAAGACCCAAGGCAGGAGCTTCCATCAGCCACTCCAGCAGATTCCACTGCCTCAGGCAGACCGCCAAGCTGAGCCTCTGCCACTTAATACACAAAAGGTGACGGATTCTAAACAGAATAATCAGGAATACCTTATTTCTGATAGCTTAGACATAACCTCAGTAGGGCAGTGAGTATACAGTTGTATGCAAAAGTTTGGATACCCCCTGGTTTTGTTGATTTAGTGAAAATATGTTAACACTTCCTCTATAAGGAACACTAGTAAATATGACATTTTTCTGCAAATTTTACTGCACAAGAGTTTAACATTGGAAAAGAAAAAATAAAACAGAAAATGTGCAGTAAGTTTTGCACAGGCTGTAGTTAAGCTTTTCTTCCCAATATGCTATATTTAGCAAATAAACAGTAATTGTACATTAAAATGTGCAGACGTGTGTTCTCTGTATGTGTACTTATTTTCACTTAGAAAATCAACACGACATGTAATTTGAGGGGTGTTCAAACTTTTGCATACGAATGTATATGTAAGATAACACCCACCTTTGTCCATATCATGAACCTTTGTCCATTCTGTCCTATAAAACACTCTGATAATTTGTTCTTTTTTAGTTAATTAAGAGCTATCTACTACCCTGTTCATCAACTTTTAACTCTATTATTATTCTTATGAATCTATAAAATGTATCCCAGGGCCTCCATAGAGCGCTTCCTTGAGTTCCTTACAGTTAATCAGTTAATCAGTTTGCAGAATTATTTTTTTTTTCTGTAGAGCCTTAAGATGTATTTAAAGATTTATCTCTGAGTGAGAATTTTTTTGTAGCCCAGTATCAAAATGTGCTTTTATTTCTGAAGAGGTCAGTGGGAAATGAGAATAGCCTGTCTGGGCTGAAGAGTGGGCGGAGGCGCTGGGGGCAGACCAAGCCCTCGGACAGCTGGGACGAATCAGATCGCTCAGACACTGCTGCATCCACCTCCAAGAAACCCAGCATGGGCATAGAAGAGGACAAAACAAGCAAGGAGTGTATTTCTCAGTAAGATGGTTCTACTGGTTTTAGATGTTCTCAACAGAACTTTATTAAAATATCATTTGTGTATCTACCCATTTTCTACCCATTTTTTTTCTTTTTTCTGTTTTAGGCCAAAGGAACAAAAACCTCTTTACACTTTTAGCACTGTGACAAAACTACCAAGCAACATCAAAATGAACCAGCCAGACTCCAATCTTCAGAGCACCTCCTCAGCCAGACAGCATTACCTGCGCCAGTCAAGATACCTGCCTGGCAAGTCTGCTTGATTTTTGTGTCAAATTTAAAAGTTTTTTATTTAGTGGAAATAAAGACTGGCAGATCGAGTAAAACTGTTTACTATGACTGCTGTCTTGTGATTGCATTGTATGTTCAGTTAAAATGAATTTGCTTAGAGACTAACAAGGTCTATTTAACTACTCCTTTTATTGTACACTAAGTTGCCAGTTTATTAGGCTCCCACCTTTACATTTCCCACTTTTACATTCTAAATGTCGCACATTACATGACTGCGGCACGTGGTATAAAATCAGGCAGACAAGCATTTCTAGTGTAAGTTAGTGTTAGCGACTTTTCACATAGCATGATAAGTGTGGTAGGTGAGCTGCTTCCAAACAATGAAAACAGCATGTGGCTGTGAGTCAAACAAGAATGGTGAGAATTTTGTGTAGAAAAATTGTGTAGGCAAATCACATCTAAATTTAAGACTGGTGTGGTGTTTTCTTAGCATTCACCACTTATTGTACACTGCAAAAAAATTATGTTTGGCAAGTGAAATCATCTTAAATCTAGTGCATATGTAACTAATGCTTACCATTTTGAGATTGCTGTAAGAATATTATAGGATTATTTAGCTTATTTCTAGACGTTTTTGCTTGTAGATGTCTGTTTTATCTAGTGTACTTTTTGTTTTATTGGCAGCTATATTTTCTTGACCTCGTCAAGGTCTCTTTCTGTCCCCTCTCGTCTGTTAGCTGTGTGTTTTTGTGTTCTTCAACACAGTTCCTTGACTGGGGAGATTGGGGTCATTTTCCCCTACCTTATACACAAGACTGCAAGGTAGAATAAGTATAAGTACTTATACTAGAGAGACCTAAAAAAAAGACTACACACAGGTAGAAACATGTTTATTGCAGAAAATGACACCGGTCTCGCCACGGAACTTACCAATTCTGACAATATTAAGGAGGAGACTGGGAAACAGAAACAATAACAATAACAAGAGCATGTGATTAGGAAATGGGAGGGGGCAGAGATGAGATGGGGAGAACACGGAGGTCCAAAATCAAACCCAAAAGGATGGAATGGGAGCTGGGCTGTAGATGGGGCCAGAATAGGAAACAGAGGAAGGACCAAATACAACAACAAGAAGAGCACATAGCTAGGATATGTCTTTAACAGAAATAAGCATTTTATCTGCATAATGTCCTGAAACAAGCAAACGTATTTGCCAATAGAATAAGACAATTTAGTAGATAAAATGATAGAAAACAAGTAAACAGCATCTAGAACTAAGTTTAATGAGTTACACCAATCTAATAACGAGAAATATTACATATATTGAATAGATTTAAGATGTTTTCACTTTCCAAGATATAATTTTTTTGCAGTGTACATTGTCTTGAGTGGGCTACAACAGCTGAAGATCTTGTTTTATCTTGTAAGCAAAGAACGAGAAGCAACAAAAACTGAACTGTTGAGGAGTAGACGAATCCAGGTTCCTGCATCATATTGACGGAAGAATCAAAAAGCTACATGAGTCTATGGAGCCATGCTGTTTAGTGTTAGCAGTACAGGTCAGTTGTGACAGCATGGTGAAGTGGGGAATGTTTATTTGGCACACATCAGAGCCCCTGATACCCATGGCATATATGTTTAATGTGAGGTCATATATGTATGACATGGTGCGTATATGTATGGTTGCTGACCAAGTTCTTCCCTTCATAACTATAGTGTAGCTACACTTCCCACATGATAATGCGCCATGTCACAAGGCATATATCATCACCAAATGGTTCCAGGAATACAATAGCAAGTTTCCTCTATCATATCTATCATGGCCTCTATCATATGAAGGGTCTTTGGGATAAAGTACAAAGGGCTGTACACCGATTCCATTTGCACCAACTACATTATGCAGTCCTTTCCACATGGTACAGTGCAGCGAAAATCCATGCCCAGTCAAACTTGTGCTCTTCTAAAAGCCAAAGGAGGCTAAAAAAAAAAAAGCTAAATGCTACTAGAAGGTTATCTAATACAGGGGTTCACAATCCCAGTCCTGGTGACCCCATGCTCTGCACATTTTTGTGTTTTGTGTTTGTCCTACTCTACACACCTGACCCAGCCCACAAGGAGCTGGTTGATTAGTTAATGAGGGAAATCATATGTGCATGGTGTATGGCTGCCAGGACTGGGATTGGGAAACCCTAATCTAATAAACTGGCAACTCTGTGTTAATAATACTACATGCTACTCCATTATATTATTCCATGATCATGTAACTTATCATGTAATCTCTGTAATAATGTCCATCCAGTGTAATTAATACTCTCAACAATTTTAGGCTTGATAAGTAAGACCACGCCATCAGCTGGGGAAAAGGAGTCTCAGAGAGATAACATGTCAAACCACCCCAACAAACCACTTGCTCCTATTGGAGGAGCACCAGTTACCCGAGCCAGTCCAGGTAAGCTTACACACAACATGGGTAATGTGTTAGCCAGCAGCTGTCAGAAACCCAAGGCTGTGCACCTGTAGGTTGTAACTTGCACAGTAAAGAACTGGGCTTGACTGACTGCTGATTTTCAACACTTCTCAGGGACAACAGACTGTTTTAAATGCTAAGTGGTTCAACCATGGTAGCAACCAAGTTTTCCATTATTCATGGGCCATGTGAGCGACACTCAGTATAAAACCACAGTGCAGATTCTTGCTTTATTCAGAGGATCTGGCTAGTGTTGTGCTTGTATCAAATGACCCTCACATTGCTGTCCAGAGAGGCATCAGAGCCCAGACACAAGACGCCTAAACAGAATCCCAACACGTCCCTTCTCCTTCAGATTCTTCTCAGTTTCCTCGCACCGTTCACATGCTGCTGTGTGGATAGTGACACTTTACTTTTGAGTTGTGTTTCTTTTGCTGTAATATTTCCATCATTTCTCCTTGCATGCTTCCGTGGCCTTTCTCATTAACCACAGAAGCAGAAGAGAGTGGCCCTAAAGCCTCAGATAAGCCCAGAGAAAGGATACTAGAGAAAATTGAACAGCCCAAAGGTACACATAACATTGGTGTTCTGTTGTGGTGAACAAGCCATCATAAAGTTCTGCAGCTGGGCAGAGCAAATTGTACCTTGTGCATTAATTGACTTATACATGCTCTGCATTCCTTTGTAGCAACTGTTGTGAGGTTGGATAAGCTTTACAGAGCACTGGCTATCCTACTGAGCTGGACAGTGTTGTTGTAGTTAATTAAAAGTAAGCAGGTAATAACAACAAATTACCGTGCTAAAGTTAGCTTTATTGCATGACTAATCTATCTTAACAGTGTGATGCAATAAAGAAAAAAAAGAGTTGTGCACTACACATTCTCATTATGTTCTGTAAAGCTTGAATTTGTGGCCGCAGCACAGATAGAACATTCATCACCTGAGTATGATCTGGGTAAATTCAATTAGAGCCCCAAAGCAAATCTTTATAAAGCATAATTGCTTTGAGAACAGGGAGTAAAAGAAACTGTGGCCATGAAATCAGTAATCAAACATATATCAAAACACATACCATAAATCTGTCCACCCTTAATTTATTTTATTTCGAGTCAGAACAGCCATTCAGTACAAGTTACTAATTTTACAGCATCAGCAAAAAAGCAGAAAAGTATATTTAACAGTAAATTAGCCTCGTGAACTAAATATAATAGCAAACATTTCAGTATTTAATATATTCACACTTTGCCTTTATTACAGCTTCCATTCTTTTCAGGAGACTTCCTTTCAGTTTTTCAGAGAAATCTGAGGGATATTTTTTTGCTCCAGTTCAGTTCTAGAAGTTGGTTGCATTTTCTGCTTCTCAAGATCCAAGTAACTCCAATTACAAATTCAGTCTCATCAGTCCATAAAACCTTACTCCACATCTCAGATGTCTAGTTTTGTTCTAGTGTAAATTTTCTATTTTGTCTGTTTTCATTTTCTCAGCAGCAGTTCTTGACAGCTACACATGCTTTCAGTCCCATAGTATTGAGTTGTCTTCTTACAGTGGAAGCAAGGACAGAACCACCTGTGGATTTTTTCAGAGTGGAGCTTGATTTTCTCCTGTCTTTCAAAGATGAAATCTTCTGATAGTGCCGGTTTTGGGTGTTAAGAGTCCCTTTTACTATTCTTCTGAACTCCTGTTTTGGAAACTCCTGGTATTTCACTTTGGCTTGTCTCATATCTAATCTTTTCTGAATTATCTTCTGAGAAATTAATAACGTGTCCTTAATGGCCATTTTGCCTGGAAATTAAATAAATTAAGGTTGGGCTCTGACTTTTGCACAGTACTGTACATTCATAATTTTTCATTATTAAAGCATTTTCATTAGCTTCAATAAACTATTAATTGTGACAAGAGCCTACATACCGTACAATTGAAATATATATTTGGTATTCAGGAAACTTTATCAGCACCACATACAATCTCTCTGGAGGTTATATCCCATCTTTCCAGAAGAAGGAGGTTGGATCAGTCGGCCAGAGAATTCAGCTTGCACCAATTGGAAACCAGCATGCCCGTATGTATTAAGACTTACTAATCAAACTCTATACCTTTTTTATGTTCATTGTCTATTTCCGTTACATTCTTCTTGGTTATTCATCTCACTGGCCATCTCACTCACTCATTTCATGCTAAGCCTGATATTCACATCAAGACTGCTGACTACTTTAAGGCAACATTAAAAATAGTCTGTACACACTGCAAAAAATTATGTCTTGGTAAGTGAAATCTTAAAACTAGTCAATATATCTAATTTTTTCTTCCTTTTTGAGATTGTTGTCACCTCATTATAAGATTATTTCACTGTCAAGCATATTTCTTAATACAAGTAAAATGATGTGCCAAAATAGTGCAATCTCAAGATGAGAAATATTAGATATTTTGACCAGATTTAAGATTATTTCACTTGCCAAAATACCTTTTTTGCAGTACAGTTTAGTTTTGCAGTCTGAGAACTTGGCTATGACTCAAGAGGCAAGGAGTTCAATCCCATCTGGTGGCTTCTGTCCTTGAGCAAGGCACTTAACTCCAGGGTACTCCAGACGGACTATACCTGTAGTTGTACCTATACCTGTAGTAACGTTGCTTTGGACAAAAAGCAAAAAACGAAATAGGCCTTGTTGGTTACAGTGCCTCTTACTTGACTGTATCGGGCCTTTGTCTTTCCCCTGTTTCTTTCTCTTTCATTCTTCTTTTCCATGCTTTTCTATGTTTCCTTCCTCTTAGTCGATCTGTCCACCACTGCCGATTCTAAAACTGGCAAAACAAAACCTTCAAAGCCAAAACCTGCCGCTTCCTCTTCACTGAATGAGAGTACTGAAGGTAAAGCTTAAGGCCTTGCTCTTCATGTAGATGGAAAATGTCAACCAGTTCTAGTCCAAGTTATGACTGGAATTGTTTGTTATTTCCTTCAACAAACTTGCAAGTAGGGTTCAACCAGTAAAATCGGGCAATGTTTCTAATGATTGTTTGTTCTTAGGGAAGCTTTTACAAAGACTGCTATGCTTGTAGTCATCTAGGCCTGTCACAACTATTACATAAATGCCTTATAAATAATATTTAAAACGTAACAGGCACTAAGTTGGATTTTATGGAAAATTTTTTGGACCTCATTATACATCTTTACATATTAATGTAACAAGCAAGGAAGGTCCATCTCGATGTTTAGATCTCAAATGCAAAATCAACAATGTACTGATGAAGATTAGATGACAATAATAGATACAAACATACATACATCATCTAAACCGCTTATCCTTCTGGGTCACGGTTCATCGCAGGGCAGACAGACAGACATACACATTCACACACACACACCTAGGGGCAATTTTAGCATGTCCAATTGGCCTGACTGCATGTCTTTGGACTGTGGGAGGAAACCGGAGTACCCGGAGGAAACCCACGCAGACACGGGGAGAACAGGCAAACTCCACACAGAAATGACCGTGGTCACCCGGCCAGAAATCGAACCCAGGGCATTCTTGCTGTGAGGCGACAGCGCTACCCACTGCGCTACCGTGCCGCCCCTACAATAATAGATAATTCACTTAAATCCATGGAAGACTTCCTGTTGGAAAACAAGTTTTGACTAAGTTCTCTTTCGATACTCTTTCAGCACCCTTGCAAATGTCAGATTCACCCACCTGTCTTTAATGCGTTATATAATTTATTTGGCAGTTAATCAGCTAAAATGTAATGATTGTGACAGGCCCAGTGCAAAACTACATTGCCAATATTATTCGCTATTAAACTTAGTAGCTCCTTACAATTGGTATTGGTGACAAAATGTTCACATTGGTTGGGTACTGCCAGTGAGGCTTGTGTTCTTAAATGTGACTCATATTCTTATCTAATCTTTAGATTTCGATGGGTGGAAAAGGAGAGCAGAAAGATCCCAGTTCAAAGGATCAAGTTACTCAGCTTTGGGGAAGAACTCTGGAAACCCCCTTTCTCGCGCGGCTCCTGTCCAACCCGTCCATGGTCGAGTGGACTGGGCAGCAAAATATGGAAGTCATCGGTAGCGTGTGCTCAGATTAGCTCAAGTGGTACGGAGCAGGCCATCTGGACTGAAGTGGGGCCTTGCTGCAACTCTGCTAATTACGGAGTAAAAACCGATGCTATCGAGAAGCTGCTAAAAAATCACTCCAAGTTTCTTGTTTGGACATGTGGAATGTCTTCAGCCTGACACAATGATATCATCCCTGCAGTTTCATTATTAAAATGTGCTTTAATTATACAGGGGGCCTCTACTTGCTAACCTAACTGACTCCTTCATCTTCATCAATGGGTGTCTGTTAGTGTTCAGATTAGCAGTTTTATTAGGCGTTTTCTGGCCTAAAGCCCAATGTGCTGTGACAGTAGAATTTGTAGCCATGGAAGTTCAAAATGTTAACGTTTCTTGAGGTTAGGACCTAAACTGTTCACTTTTAAATAATAGTGTTTGAATGATTTTGTATTTAGCAATTTTTCCTTTTTTGCTACGTGACCTGGCTTTGTAGAAAATGGTTCACATTTTTGTATAACAGATCTTCAAAATGGAAATATGCTTTTGGATTCTTTACCCACTGAGTGAAAACAACTCTATTCACTGATGAAACTAAAAGGCTCATCTGATGCCTTGAAAATTAGGCACATTGATGATTACATTTCATTTTGAATGCCGGTACAGATTCCATGTCACTACTTCAGTTCAGAGTGTATGGATAATTCCTTAAAGGGGAATTGCAGAGGTTTTTCAAAATAAATTACATAATTAAAGTGCTAAGTTGTAAACAGTCACTCAAGAGTGGTGTGATGTGAAATATGCTGCCTGATGCCTCAGATATTTATGACAGTTTTCAGGTTTTTTTTTTTTTACCTAAAACTAATTTTTTATGTAAATTAATGGAAAAGAGGTACACATAGGACATCAAGGAAGGCAAAGTAGTACCCAAAGAAAACATATTTTTTGGTATTTACTGCTATTTTGCCATTATCAACATTACAAAAAATATAAAAGCATGTGCATGTTAACTGGTTGCTTTGGATAGCAAATAAAATAGCTGTATTTGGGTTGTGGATAGTGATCTTTGGTTCCCATTACCACCATTGTAAAGAAATCTGTGTCTGTAAGCATTCATGCAGTGCACTGTTTCACATCAAATCACTCTGAATGATTTTGTTTACAAATCAACAATTGAATTTATGCAGAAATGTTGAAAAATATGTGGAAATTCCCTTTAATGCCATTGAAATGCCACTGATCCAATGCAGACCCGACTATATTTTGTTTTATAGGAGTGCTCCCCGAATGACAACCCGTTTTCTGTATACTGGACCAATACTGTACCTAGATCTGTGTCATAACTGAATATATACTGTAGATAACCAAACTAATTGGGTTGTAGCTGCAAATCAATAAAAGTGATCGTTTTCTATATCTTTTTAAAGCATGGTGAATCCTGTGGTTTGAATGTGTAGAAGGTACAATGGAAATGCTGCAGTTGTGTCGCAAATGAAAATAGTACCTCCCGTAGTCATAGCTAAAAAGAAAAATCATGTTTGCTTAATTTTTATCATTTATTAAACATTTTATAAAAAATAAGATCCACAATCACAGTTGACTACTGAAAGACAGTGGTATAATATAACAATAAAGAAAGAATTTTCAGTGTTTTGTGGCATCAATTTATCCTGATTCTTGTGGCTTCTGTAGAACTCCAACACCAAGCTTCACCAACATCAGAATACTGGAAAAGAGATTAAATCAGTATGAATTAAAAAAGACTGCACACTTCCGATGTGATAATGGACTGGCATTATCAATCAATTTCTAATCCGTCAATATACATCAATAATAATTAATATCATTGTTAATATAACTGTTGTTGAAATAGTGTAAGAAAGCTTTGTGGAATTATAGCCAGCAAAGGGCAGCCAGCTGGCTCAGGAATAACCCAGAGTTTACTGAATGACCAGATGCAGAATCTCATTGTGAAGTATGATCAGTAGGTACCTTGCTCCAGCCACTATACCCGCAGGCATAATCTTCCGAGAGTTATAAAATCTCTTTCCCATGATAGCAGCCAGAGTTCCTGATGTAGCTGCCCAACAAAGATATAAATAGACAGTTAAAGTGTGTCAAATATATCGTCACTGTCCAAAAAACATGCATTTCCATTTTTGTAGATTTTTTTTATATCATTTGAACACGGTGTGAAAATTTCATGATGAAGGGATGGATAGAAATTCTCAAAAATTACTTGGAATAAAAACTCCAATGGATGGTTTATAAAGAGAGGTGTAACATTGTGACAACACATTGCACTGCAAAAATATGACAACATGCATAAAGTAGATAAGTGATACCAGCTGCATTCTATTAATTATGCCATCTAATGTAATTGCAATGTTTGAACAATAATCGTAATTAATTTAAACCACATCAGTATGGTCAGTGTCATGAGGCACACTCCCAGCTCCAGGCCTCTCACCACAACATGGATACATTCATAATTTTTCTTAATTCAGATATTGTTCAAAATATCATGAGAATATTGAATAGTGAACAGGTACAGCATAGCGAGTTGAATAGAAAAATGAGTTCAGTAAACCGTTACAGCCATATTTATGACTACTACAAAACTCTATTCTAATAATGCTCTTAATAATGGCCATTTTGAGTGTCTAATCTATTTGACAAAACTCAATCTGTTTGTGACAAGTATTCATGATTATTTACTGTGTGTCAAGGTATATAATCAGTAATATCACTTTGATTAAACATTAATATGCATCAAACTGTATAAATAAAGCAGTACATATGAAAGAACCAACCTAAAGATACCCAGATGTTTTTGGGGTCCTGTGATATCTGATAAGCACCAAAACCTGCTAGACCACCAAAGAGCAGCCCAGCTGCCAAGGAAGGGGCACTGCCTGCAGAAAAAGAGGTTACATATGATAATTAGAACTTAAGGGGAATTCCACCAATCTTTCAAAATTTCTATATAATTCAGTCATTGAGATGTAAACAAAGTCATTCAGAGTAGTTCAATGTTAAATAATTAATCGTAAAGAAACTTGCCATATTTCTCTACAATGGTGGTGACACGAACCAGGGGTCTACATCACAAAAACTGCTACTTTATTTAATATTCAAAATGACCTACACTTAAAACTGAAAAAAAAATGCAATTTTATTTACTGTCCTAAATTGTCTATTTTCTGACTTTTTTATAAGTGATGCTGATAAAAGGTAAAATAGTGCTAAATCTGGGAAATTTTTCTATGAGGCCTTTTCCTTACAACGCCCTACACTTACTCCTCCACCATGAATGGCTTTAAAATTATGTTTCAGGCCAAATCCTTACCCCAAAGCTTTAGTAAACCAACGTCTCAGACATCAGGTAGCATATTCGGAACCATATAAAGTAGTAAATTCCTGCTTTTAGGCATTAAACGCTTCAGATGTCTGGTTTCTATCACCACTACTGTGAACAATACAGACTTGGCAAGTTTCTCTAGAATGGAGAATTTCAAATCAAATCATTGTAAACACTTTTATTTACATCTTAACTGATTAATTATGCACAATGGTTTTGAACAATCGGTGGAATTCTCGTTTAAATACATCTGCTAAAACTGCGAAAAACTAATACCCAGCAACGCAGGTACTACTCTCTACACATCTCACACACTTCATCATGTTAAGTAAAAAAAGTGTACTAGGTTAGTCTGAGGGGTTACTTGAGTTGAAGTAATCGGCGACTGTAATGGCTGGTTTACTATTTTAGAATTGCACTTTACCTGCTTTGACATAACCCAACACTCCTCCTGACGCAACCAGGGCTGCGTACCCATATCCAGCCCAGTCAACTGCCATGACCAGGGCCTGGAAATACAATAATTAATGTCAATAAATCGATTAATCAATCAATACGATGGTAAACCTTGCCCCGCTCCTCGCGCTAATTAGCTAATAAACGCAGACCTGCTTGAAAAAGACAATAACAGCAGTGACAGCAGTAGCGTTCATGACTGTAAGGTCAGACAGCGACGTGGAGCCCTGACAGCCCGACCTTTTAAAAACTTGCATGAAATGCGAGCACAAGTTGTGCAGCAGATAAACCCGAGTGAGATAACGACTGTGTCAAAACTTCACTCGGCATAAGTAACGTTAGCCAGCTCACATGGCCGCGCTGCTTGCCTACATTTAAGGCTGAAAAAGTGCACCGACAACTTCTCTAAAAAAGTGCTCTAAATGCATAATTAAAAGAAACTGTGTTAATTTACAACAGTCACAGCAAATTATTTCAGTGTACTTACTTGAAATCAAGTGTAGCTGGTACTGGAGATGTCCTTGCACGTTATTTTAAAGCGACAAACTCAACAACCAATGAAATCTCATGTCCAATGACGTCTTTCACAGATGGCTGACGGGAAGTTGAGTTTTGTGAGGAAATCTTTTGTAACACTTTATAGTCTTCTATTGAAATGAGGATTTGTTGATTCCGTGTGATATGAGGAAGCTGGTCACAGCTTCTTCCGTTTTCTCAGAGAATTCAGAGCAACTTATAACGTTATAAATCGATGAGGAGAACATAGCACGAAAAATAAAATAGTTGGCGACATATTGATAAGTGCAACGACGAAGTCAAATGCTGCCCTCTAGTGGTTAATTCAGACCAGCACCACAGTTTAAAATGAAGAAGCAGTTTTTTTAGACCGGAGATCTCCAAACTCATCCACAAAGGACCTAAAAAGAGCACACCTCATATAACTAACTTGTTTGAAGACTGAGATCAATTGATTAAAAAACTAGAACCAGACGTGCTTCTGTTCGATTAGAATGAAAACCTGCAGCCAACCCAGCCTTTTGTGGATGAGATTGGTAACCCCTATGTTAGACTGTACAACTCAAACATGGGCAACTCTCTCCCTTGGCAAACACAGACCCGCAGCCGTTATTCATAATTTATTTATTATTTATTTAATCCTCTGAATGAACAGAATTGTCTAATTTAATCCTACACTTAGTGCTGTGAGCTGATACGAGAGACTTAGCAATGCTGGTAACCATGTCAAATACTGTGAGACTCTAAAAAGTAAACAAGTACTTAATAAAGAGCAATGTATTTTTGTATTCTAGTTGGTGCCATTATGGTATTATGTATATCATTTCTGACATGGCCTATGTATACAATCATTACAATGTCACTTCAGGTTAAAAGGTTAAAAGTGAGTGTACATGTAAAACAATTTTGTATA